AAGAGCCCAAGAGCCCGTTCCTCGACTTCTTGTACAAGAACAACTGCATCCGAACCCAGAAGAAACAAAAGGTCTTCTACTGGTACAGCGTTCCTCATGACCGTCTCTTCCTCGACGCTCTCGAGCGGGACTTGAAGCGTGAGAAGATGGGCCAGGAGGCCACTACAGTCGCCGTCAACGAGCCTGCGCTCTCGTTCGAGTTCGACTCCTCCCAGTCGCTCTACGAGCAGTTGACCAAGGCGCAACAGGCGAACTCGTCCTCTTTCTCTGCCGCACACGTCTCGTCTGCGTTCGCTTCTTCCCACTCGGCCTCGCCCATGCCGCGAGCCACCGATTCCATGCCACCACCGCAGATGGCTCCCCCGGCCATCCCCGTTGTCCACGATGAGCAGAACACAATGTACCACGGCTCCGTCAGCAGCGATCCCATGGGCGGCCAGATCGTCAAGACTGAGGCCGATTACCCGCAGTTCCAATACGATCGCAATGGTGTTCCGGTCTCCAAGGTCCACCAGCGCCATACCTCCATGCCCACATACATGGAATACTCGCCTGCTCCTTCATTCGTATCCTCTCATTACGATGAGTATGCCAACCGTGGTATTTCCTTTGAGCCCCTAACTCCTCCACAGCACACTATGCACCTCACCTCAGAGCCGGCTTACATTGCCAACGAGGATACCGGCCTCTATACTGCCATCCCAGATATCGGATCAACCTCCTCCTTTAACCCAATGATGCAACTTCCCCCTTCTAATGTTGCTGCTCCTCACTACTCTACCGCCTCAAGAAGCTTCCCTTCTTCTAGCGTGTACTCCGTCATAGAAGGCTCACCGACATACAAGCAGCGAAGACGCCGCTCATCCATCCCACCAAGCATCACCAACGCTATCACAGCAGCTACTAATACATTGCATGTACAATCGCATTCCCAGGACATGCACCAGCCTCAAGTCCCGGTCCAGCCTCATGCTGTTCACCGGCCAAGCGACCTTCGTCGCTCCATGTCTACCGCGATTGAAGGCGATGCTTCCCATGAGGACTCACCTCCGCGTGCCATGTACTCTCAGGGCAGTGTTCATCATTCTCGCACTACCACTCCCCTGCCAAGCCTAGAAGAGAACACGCAGGTGTCTGTTCCCATCTCCATGGGTGAGACAACAACCGTATCCTCATTGTCGAATATGGAGACCATTGATGGTACCGACGGTATGCACCTAATGAACGGACACCAGGGTGATCGCCCCGGTCCCATTCGTCGTGCTAGAAGCGCTACTATGATGGAGCTCGGCCCATATCCACAAAAGTCTCACTCCTGCCCCATTCCCTCCTGTGGCCGTCTCTTCAAGCGTCTAGAGCATCTCAAGCGGTATGTAACTCTGAAGCCATCCTTACGCCCCGAATATAGCTGACGTATTTTCTACAGACACGTAAGAACACATACGCAAGAAAGACCATATACCTGTCCTTACTGTAACAAGGCGTTCTCTCGATCAGACAACCTTGCACAGTATGTATCCCTTATATCATTCAAACCAGGTCTGGTAAACTAACTATCTCCAGGCATCGCCGTGTCCATGAGACGCAACAGTCTTCCAACACCGGCTCTCAGCCTCCAAGCTTCAAGGAGGATGAGCAAGAAAATGACCGCGAACAGTCAGTCGCAGTCGGCCAGCATGAGCAACAACCCCAGCAATCGCAACAAGTTCCAACTTCCAGTGCGAACTACCTCCCAACTACCGTCGTCAACATGGCCAATGTCACCTCCATGCATTCGATAGGCACCCACTCCAACCTACCATCCATGGTGGCCCCCCAGATAATCCAACCCCAAATGGTCCAACCACAGATGCTACAACAGCAGATATGAAGTTCTTCCCGCCCTCCCGTTCCTCGTTCCATTTATATAAAGTTCATTTAGATTACGAAATACACCCCATCAGCCTCTGCTTTCTTTTTCGCCTGGGAGAATCGCTCTGCATTTGTTTTTTGCTTTTGGTCTTTATTTTTCGACCCTGGACAAACATTCCCGCCTTTATCCGTCCCGGTTCGCCGTGCCATACCACGGTTTATATATACGCTCTGGGCTATCATGGAGTTCTGTTAAACAGCCCCGGTTTATATAGACAGGTGTTCTCTATGCTTTTGGCCCGTCATAATTCTATCATCCTCTACCTACCTTATGTTGCAACGTCATAATCTCGTGGAGTTTCCTTGTTTGGATCCTACGTTTCCCTTCCCCGTCCTGTCACTACATGTTACAGTCTTACCTGTGCGGAACCCCCTTACCTCGTTCCAGGACTGAACAACTCAGGGTGCTCTTCCGCCTAACCCTTTAATAATGTCTTTTCCTTCCTGTATATTTCCTATCCTGTCCGATGCATACGGTGTCCAATCCCACCGCCAGAATCCGTTTTGTCTGATTTTATCAAGTTTTAAGAAGAATTTTGAATCGTTTGGCATTGTTTTCTTTCCCTGCATCTGTTGCGTGTTTCTTTATAAAATGGAAAGACAACAAAAAAAGTGAGGATAGGGGATGCGATGAAGGAAAAAAAAAAAATGGGCTTTCCCTTGTTTGTTCTGTTTTTTTAGTATTACTCTCCTTTTCATCTGGAAGATGGGCAGTGGATTTGCCAGGGAATTGGATATAGGACATGTCTGTTCTCTTTTTCATTTTAATATGCTCTCCTTAATTATAGTCTCTAGGCTAATAGACCTATCTCATTTACCAGTAGTCTCTCATCTTTCCTCTACTTTGGTGTCACTTCTCCTTTTTATATATTCCTCGATGTTGATGTGCACCGTTCTGATATTCGTCGACCTCGTCTCCCCTTTCCTTCGCTTACTGCTGTCTCTCAGCTATTCAAACTACCCTAGCTCATTAGCCGATAATTCAGATAATATAGAGCCCCATTCTTATTGAACTGATATGAACCGATGGCATACTAACATGCTATAATATAACAGGTTTCTCCCGTCTTATATCCCAGCCGTGACTATCGCCCGACTGCCGTTTCTCACCTGGAATCGCTTCAACGGCATCGGGTTGCATCTCACTCCTGGCAATATCCCTGTAGATATCTCCGTAAATATTCATCTCCACCATATGTAAAATAAAATTAACCCCACAAGCACCAACGGAGTCGTCTCTTCCCGCTATCTTACCTATAGTACGGAGCCCTTACACTCATTGAGGCACTTAACCTCTAACTTTGAGGATATCCGCAGCAATTTCGCTGCGTTGTATATATACGAGGCCCTGCCCACCACATCTCCGCCCAACACCAACATCAAGGCCTAGAATCACGGGCTATCCCGTATTCAAACGATCAACTGGATAACCTGTGTCTTTAACTGCCTAGGACCAATTACACTCACGCCCCCATCGCCTCGTCCAAAGGTCAAGAGGGCCCGTCGAGTTTGTGGTTGCTTCAGCCGCGACAGGTACAGGTACCTCCTTTTAGGCTTCATAGATGACGCAGCGCTGCAACTTTCTTTGCTCTGGGCTGGCTGATGGACAGGAGAGGCTGAAGGACAAAAAGAGGGCTTTTTGGGTTAAGCCTATTCTCGCCATGGCTGAGCGTAAGACTTCTTCTGACTTAGGCCTCATGACCCTCTGCTGCTTCAGAAGGTGAAGGTAAGCGTATGGAAAAAAGGGGTCGCGGTAGAACTTCTCCAGGGCTTCTTCCAAAGCTCGCCTCCGCGGACTATCCGGTCAACTAACGAGTGTTCAAACCTGCTTTGCTATTTCGGAGCACTTATCCATGGCCGTTCATGCGGCTCAGCCGTACATCCGCTTTGATATACCCCTTTAGAGCTACATACATCTTATTCCTATATCGTCATGGCCTATCCGGGAGATAGGGAGGATAACAGCACCTCGCCGCTCCTGGATGGTCCCGAGAGACGGTCTGGGGAGATTTGGGATGATGCTGCTGCCGTGGCCAAACAGGCAGAGAAGGAAGAAGAGGCTAAAAGCAGCTGGTACTTGTTCCTATTAGCTCTTAGCATCGGGGGGTAAGTATCTAGCTCAATATCATCCCCCATACAACAGCTAATGCATGTTTAGGCTGCAGATTGTATGGTCAGTTGAATTATCGAATGGATCTGTGAGTACATATCCATACACCCCGTCTCCCATACGTAACCATATCCTATGGTTTGTATTTGTCAGTTGACCTCTAGCTAACGTATCCTATAGCCATATTTACTCTCACTTGGCATGAGCAAGTCATTACTTGCATTTGTGTGGATTGCAGGGCCCTTGACTGGAACTTTGGTGCAGCCCTACGTTGGCATCAGAAGTGATAACTGCCGCATTAGCTGGGGAAAACGAAAACCCTTTATGATCGGAGGGGGAATTGCTACCGTTTTCTCTTTGCTGGCATTGGCATGGGTAAGGGAGATAGTGGGAGGAATCCTATCTCTGTTTGGAGCACCTCCTGAATCGTCCGGGGTCAAAGTAACCGTTATCGTGGTGGCGACTTTACTGATGTTCTGCCTTGATTTTGCTATCAATACGGGTATGTATGCAATGTAGTATCCGCCCAGATGACAACTTAGTGCCCTTGCATACTAATTTGAACTGATAGTACAAGCGGCAATTCGTGCTTTCATAGTTGATAATGCCCCTGCACATCAGCAAGAAGCAGCAAATGCATGGGCAAGTAGACTGACAGGCATTGGGAATATTGTGGGCTACATATCAGGCTATCTGAAACTCCCCGAGATATTTCCTTTCTTCGGAAATACTCAGTTCAAGGTGCTTTGCGTGATTGCATCCATGTGCCTGGGGCTTACTCTCCTGGCCAGCTGTTCATACATCACCGAACGTGACCCACGGTTAGAAGGCCCCCCGACATCAGAGAACCCGGGCGTCCTTGCATTTTTCGTACAGGTATTCAAGTCGATACGAAGGCTACCTCCCCGGATTCGAAAGGTCTGCGAGGTCCAGCTCTGTGCATGGGTTGGCTGGTTCCCATTCCTGTTCTATTCAACTACATATATCGGACAGCTCTATGTCAATCCGATATTTGACCACCACCCTCACTTGTCCAAGGAGGAAATAGATGCTGTCTGGGAGAAAGCAACTAGAATAGGCACTTTCGCCCTTTTGATATATGCCATCACCTCGTTTGTAGGAAGTATTGTCCTGCCCCTGGTGATTGTGCCGGGTTATCGACCGCCGGTTGCATCAGAAGCGAGCTCTCCGCCCCGGAACCGGCCATATCTGAGCCATCGACCGTCGACATCCACGCTCTCTTTCACCGCGTCAGCTGGTGCTGCTATCGAACCGGCCGTCATCGAACCAATCCATGATCCCAGCAGGTCGGATGAACGAGGAGGGGGGAGGTGGTCATCCCTCCTCTCCAAACTGCAGGTTCCCAGTCTCACTCTGCGCAAGCTCTGGCTCATCTCGCATATTCTCTTCGCACTGTGCATGTTTAGCACGATCTTCGTGTCGTCTCCGGCAGCTGGAACAGTAGTGATTGCAACCGTTGGCCTATCCTGGGCCCTCACTCTCTGGGCCCCCTTCGCACTTATCTCTGCGGAGGTAGCACAGCGTGATGCAGCACACAGACGGCAACGACATTCGCTCCGGCCTCGGACAGCTTCAGATCCTGCTCCTATTGGCTCTCGTCCACGCCCTTTGCAATCTGATGTTGGAGCCCATGAAAGAGATGTCGAGGAAGAGTCTAGTAGTGCTAGCGTGGTTGACCATGATGCAGGAGATAAAGATGAAACAGTCGACCAGGCGGGGATTATCCTGGGCATTCATAATGTCTCGATTTCGTGTCCGCAGATCGTATCGACCCTGATCAGCAGTGTTATTTTCAAAGCCCTCCAGAAACCGCGGGGAGCAGCCTGGGATGATAGTGTTGGATGGGTGCTTCGGTTCGGGGGATGCGCTGCCCTGGGAGCGGCATGGTTCACAAGCACGATGGGTGACGGGCCTTCCCAGAGCACTGAAGATGAGGCCGTCTAGAATATTTCTGTTTCCATTCCATGGATGTTTTCCAAGGCAGCACTTGGTTAATGTTGATCTATATGCCCTGATCCACCATTTTCCATGACCAAATTGGTAGTCAGAAAAGAACGGTTAACACGGTCGAATAGATAACCACAGGTAACTGATATTTGATAATTATATACCTCTGTATTGTACCATTAATACAATTTTCGAGGGAGTGACCATAGTTTGCTTCCAGTCAAGGTAGAAATGGAGCCACCTCAATAATTGATTGCTCAATATACATGGCTTGGGGATGGGAACTGCATATAGATTCGCCCCTTTGGTTGAAATGGCAAATAGTTATCAGCAACAATTTGATATACACTCAAGCTATTAGACCGCCCAACTTCTGGAATGGTATCCGCATCACAATATCCGTCAGAACCTGCTGGTATTTCTGTCATTGAGTTATTGGGGCTTGCCATGAACCCTTCGATGAGCTTGTTGACAAACCTCTCGTAACAAGTCGGCCCGGCAGCAGAGCTCTTTGGCATTGATGTTGTTGTAGAGTTACTCAACATGCGCTGCATCGATGCCGTTTCTATCTGATTCAAGGCTATTTCATTCAACTATGAGTCTAGCTGCGCCCTGTCAGCTGGCTAGTTAACTAATTAGTTTCTGTGGCAGGGACTCTGCTGCTTTTCTACCCCCCCCCCCCTTTTCGTTATTATTGAGCCAGGCCGGTTGACAACCAAAGTCGAAATTAACTAGCAGATGCTGTGTAGCTCTCAGCTCGGCACCAGCAGTGGTTCGTTACACTGTGCTATGCAGTTCCTGCGCCCGAGCGAGTACATCCGATGCTCGTTGAGAGCACAAGCGGGTCATGCATCTGGATGTCACGTCTTACAGCATATCGGATCCCTCGGGGCAAGCTATTTATTCGTTTATTTTGGCGTGCGAAGGAGGAACTACAATACCATTTCCTGGGTCTAGGTCAAATACCCCCTACATACACATACCTGCTGATTCCTCAGTTGTAATTCCAGGTTGGCCTGAGGATGAGCTCACCGTTTGTTGTGCTACATGGATCTCGGCTGGACTCCAGATGGGCCTGGGTTGATGTACAAGACATCAACCGATATCAACCAGCCTGACTACACGCTTGCCTTATGACCTTTTGATTAATTTATGGCATACCAATGCGGCGTATGGTTGCTACCAGGCTCGATACCAACATCTCTTTCCGTCTTTCCGTCTTTCCCACCCTCAACCGTCGGCTAATGCAAGGCCGTTGAGAGTGTCCCAATGACAGCCTTGTGACCAGAGTGCTGCAAATTGATGTTAAGCGAGAAAGATTCGGCATATCATGAACTCGCTCAATGCAACCTTCTCTAGTCTGCATGTCTAGACCAATCTTCTCTGCGGTCACAAGGGATGTCTTCCATTGCAGGGAGTCGTGATATCCAAACCCGAAAGAATGGATATAAAATCAGGGAATATATCCACGTCTGGAACTCTCAATTCGGGATACTCAAACCTGACTGCTTCCTAGAGAATAACACAAAAACAACATACCCATCATGAAGTTGATTTACCTCGGTTTACTGAGCAACCTCCTGAACTCGCCTTCCTTAACCCACGCTGCTAATGTGGCTGTAAGGAAGATTGGGAAGGACGCTATGATTAAAAACAACAAGGTTACGTGGATGGGAGAAGATGGCTTTCAAGATGGCTTTTCATGCCCAGATACCCATGTCCTCCAACCAAGTGCTGATCAGCAGTCTGCTTCCTGCTGCTTGCCCGGCCTAACTCTCAAGGGCAGTTCTACCACGTCGTTTGACTGCTGCGCTGAAGGTCACGATTTAGCTGGCTCTGAGGCTGTCGGTTATATCTGCTGTCCCACTGGACAGATCTACGACGGGAAGGTTTGTAAGAACGGCAAACCACTCATGGAGGGTAAATGTGCTTGCTCCGAGGATAAGAATGTGACCTCTGAGGGATGCTGCGAACCTGAGGAATGCTCATCCGGGCTGAAAACTGGTAAGTGATAGTCTCCTGTCAGCTAGTATAAATGCCATAAAACTCACTCTTCTAGGAAAATGCTATACGTTCAAGGAGAGCAACGGCTACCTTCTCGGCTACCTCCGTACTGGAAAATACTATAATGCAGCTCCAGATAGCAGAGATCGCATCTTTGGAAAGTTCCAGCTCTGCAGAGACCAGATGTGTAACCCGGGACGTCCAATCAACGCCGGAGACGAGCTTTACATCAAAGACCTCCACGGAACCCCTATGGACGGAGCAGATGCAGGTCAGTGGATGAATAATGCAGCTGACGGGCCCCATATCGGCAAGACCCCAAACTTTGCAATGGCGGGCAGATTTGCAATCACCAAGTGGCCTTGCGGCAAATACTGCATTACAGGGGCTGAACTAGGCCTTGGACCTGCATGTCCGGCGGATCAGCCCGCTCTTACGTTTTACACGCGGTCTTCCGAGCCATGCGTCCCATATGAACTTACGGAGGTTCCATGCAGCGTGAGAAGTATCAAAAATAACTGCATCTGGTACAATGGCAAGGACCAATGCTGTAACAAGATTGACTGTTCAGAGAGAAAATGCCACAAATAAGTAGGCCTCTAGTCACTTTCGCTTTCGGGTTTATTTCTTTCGGGTTTAGGACTTTTCTGCTTCACTAATTACTTCAAGTCGAGCGAGCAGTCACTTGGATAGGCAATGAATATGTGCTTGAGTGACTCTTTGTTTTGTGGGCCTGCAGTGACTCAGTCGAGAAGCTCTATATAAAGACAACTCCTCGCCGTGATGCCTGTGTAGCAGCTTAATATTTCTTCTTCCTTCCATATCCTAGGACTACTCCCCAGATTCAAATCTACTTACCATATTATACATGTGGATCGCCGGAGTAAAAAATTTTTTCGAGGGAAAGGGTTGGTTAGGGTTAGGTGTGGACCATACTAATATATCAACTGCTATCTAATATCCGCACCAGTACTATATATGGTGTCCAACTTCGCTGCCTGCTTCCCTCGTTCTTGATGAGCGAGGTTATCTGAAGGACCACGGACTAAAGCAGCAAAGCATAAGGCACAAGACTGCAAAGACACTGCTACTATCAAACAGCCGAGCCAAAGGGCGAGCCTACACTTGTGCTCAGTAGGTTGGAAGTTATATTGACAGACAAACAATTTAACCAAATCCCCCAAAGGGGAACTCTGGGGGCTTGCCTCAGACATGAGAAAAATGACAAGTCCACGAACTAAGAGGACGACTGGGAGGAAGCCCTTGAAGAAAGGGATATATGTGTCTGGCGGGAGACGACGTCTTTCGCAGGGACGTCCGGCAGAACCGTGGATAGGGACTGGCCATCTCACTATACAAATCCACTCGACCAAACGATAGTTATTTTTGGCTGTGCTCTAGTAGCAACATGGCACACCGGAACGCAAGCTGGAGTTGACGTGAGTATGGGAAAAGGAGCCCCTCTGTCAACGTCAACCAACAAGAGAGTCCACGAATATCAATGACAGTAGTGAGAGTGATGGGACGGCTATACTTCCTATTTCCCGCCTTACACATCTATCTTTTCCTCAGTGATTAACAGGAGAAGAAGACATCCCCAAAATCGCATATATGATCTATCGTCTCCAGAATATCTTCTTATTAGCACACCATCTGCTTGGCTGTTGCATGAAACCTCAAACATTACTCTCTATTTGATATATAAACACCTGAAAAGTACATCTTACTCTATCTTATTTTACTCATCTCTTATACATATCTCTCTTCTACTTCCGCTTCCTTCTCTCTCCTTTTATATAGAAACCCAAACTCCCTTAAGGCCCGCCAGGTAGTATGTAAGAGTTGTAGTCATGTAGCTGGAGAGAGTAGCTTAAGGTACACAGATGAATGAGAGAATAACACCCTGGGAGGATGCTTTACTCTGTGTATTCGAGCATACCGTTCTCTCGGAGAGTAAGCATTTCAGCAACTACCTAGGTGGTTGTTGTTCATTAGAGACAAATCGGCCGTCGAATAACAACTTTTAAACGAAGCTTGCAGTCCTCAAGAAACAACAGCTAGCTAGCCTATTACATCCTAGCTGAAACAACAAGGTAACTGCTGTCGAATATTGTCTGCGACTATGATATCTCAACATCTCAGACGTCGATGTTCTGGTGTTTGCTCGCTGTCGCTGTCGCGCTCGGAGTGACGTTGAAATTGACGTCCGGGCACGGCGGATGACACCGATGCACGTGACTTGGGGTCGACTTGGCCCGAATTCAGGCGATCCATAGAAGGACGAATAAACAACTCCAAGCAGTGCGATTTCCGAAGCTCTTCTCCTCCAGCAGCGTCGTTTGCCCCCTTATCGGTTACCGGTAGAAGCTCTCTTTGGAGACTATGAGCGCAGCCCGCCTTTCTAATCGACTTACTCAGTCGCGCCCGTACCCTCCCATCTGAAATTCGGCAGCCTGTTGCCCCATCATCATCAGGCACCATGGCGGCCAATGTTCTAGGCGGGGTTATATCAAAGGTTTTAAGTGAGCAGTCTCCTCTCTGCAATGGGGTAGACCGCAAAGAAGGTACTTGACTGACTGGTTTTCTCTGTAGGGAAGAGGGAGGAGGAAGAAGACCCTGATGGTATGCAGCCGACCTAAAGTGCCACTCGCCAGCCCAGTCCGATAAAAGAAGCAACCTCGAGCTTTTATGCACATTGAAGCTATAAGGGAACGAATGATATATTCTGACGGATTACTGCAGACTCTCCGGAAGCTGGAGAACGAGAGTTTTGGACTTCCTGGGCTCTCTTCATCCTTATTGTGCTGTTGATTACCGCCCTGTTCACCAGCTACTTGCTCAAGCAGAAGCGCATTCAAGCGGTACATGAAACGGTTTTGTCTATATTTGGCGGTGAGATCTTCTATACCTCCGTGTTAAGAGGATCGGCACAGATGTTATTGGCATGCTAACACAGCTCCTAGGAATGGTTGTTGGTTTGGTCATTAGATTTACGCCCGGAACATTGATCCAGAAATCAGTCAGCTTTGACTACCAGTTCTTTTTCAACCTTCTTCTCCCCCCTATTATATTAGCATCGGGCTATGAGCTACATCAGGTAGGGCATTTCGCTAGTGGCTTCGGCGGTAAGGGCGCGGAGTTGCTGACCGGCTTCTTTAAACACAGGGTAACTTCTTTCGAAATATTGGCAGTATCCTTACCTTCGCCTTCGCCGGTACATTTATCTCTGCATTAGTCCTGGGTCTCGTCTTATTCCTTTGGACAAGAATTCCTATTGAGGGATTGGACATCTCCTTCGTCGAGGCATTTTCTGTCGGAGCCACACTTTCAGCGACTGATCCTGTCACCATTCTTGCAATTTTTAACGTCTACAAAGTCGAGCCGAAGTTGTACACGGTTATATTTGGAGAGTCTATTCTTAACGATGCAATTGCAATTGTTTTGTTCGAGACGGCGCAGAGATACAAGCCAGGCAGCGCAGCAGGATCGCTTACAGTCCTCAGCTTATTCGAGGCTATTGGCATTTTCTTGATCGTTTTCTTTGGAAGTCTCCTTATTGGAGTGATCGTTGGAATAGGCACTGCGTTGGGACTTAAATATACCCATGTGCGTCGTGATCCAAAGATTGAAAGTTGCCTCATTCTTTTGATTGCCTATGCCTGTTACTTCTTCTCGACTGGAATCAAGATGTCGGGTATGGAACCCTGCTTTTCATCTTTGAATTAGTCGGCTTTACTGACATTTCTGCTCAAGGTATCGTGTCACTACTGTTTTGTGGAATGACCCTAAAACACTACGCATACTACAACATGTCTCGTCGAACCCAACTTACGACCAAGTACATATTCCAGACTATGGCGCAACTCTCCGAGAACTTTATATTCATTTACCTAGGATTGGACCTTTTTACGGATGAGAACCTGCAATTCAAACCCCTCTTCATTATGGTGTCTGTAGTGGGAATATGTGTGGCCAGATACCTGTCTGTATTCCCATTATCCCAGGCCATAAATTGGGTTATCCGGTATAGAGCTGCTAGCCGGGGTAGGGATGTGGCTGATGAACTCCCTTATCCATACCAAGCCATGCTTTTCTGGGCAGGCTTACGAGGAGCAGTCGGTGTCGCGTTGGCTGCTGGACTGGAGGGAACAAATGCTCCAGCGTTGCGTGCAACAGTTCTAGTTGTTGTCGTCTTGACCGTCATTATATTTGGAGGTACAACCGCTAGAATGCTTGAAATTCTGGATATCCGTACTGGAGTTGTGGAGGAAATTGATTCCGACGACGAATTTGATATTGAAGTCACGAATGGTGGCACATACTACAAGCGATCAGGAACTGGGATGGGACATACCCCACGCAGAAGCGATTTCCAGCTAGACTCGGTGGCTAGAGAACATGAAATCAATCGGACTGGTCATGGCTTCTCGAGCGGTAGCAATGGACGACTAACTCCCCAGGCTCCTGAAGGTCCTGGTGGCCTCACGAGGAAGAAATCTTCATACTCCAGAAAAGATCGTACTCGATCTCGAGACGGAGCTTCGACGCAAGAGTTACTCGGAGGCCGAAGTGGGAGCCACAGCGGTAGCAGCGTTGACATAGATATGAGCCATGACAGAAGCCGTGCTGGACGAAACGCCAGAGGAACAGGTGACATGGGTATGAGTATCGACGACTTCGACCTTGAAGTCGACGCCGCATTGTCTGATGATGACTTGCCTCCTGCAGCCTCACAGGCCCAACATTCTCGCAACCATTCCCAACCCCGATCAGCATCGGCTCATACCCCTGGGGATGGACCATACGCTAACACTGCCCAAGCAGAAACGTCATCTTCATCCCGACCTATTGCGGCTGCCACTGATGCATTCCGTGATTTGCTGAGTGGAAACCGTGACCATGCTACGTGGTTTAAACATCTTGACGACGAATACATCAAACCAAAGTTGCTTCTCGACCAGGGATCCGGCTCTGGATCTCCATCTGGATCTGGGCGAAAGGGACCTGATGCTGTATGATGCTGTATGAATGATTGATTAATCGCACCTGACAGTTATCACTATGACCATGTTTTAATACTGTTTCCTCTTGTCTTTCACATTGCTTTAGTCTTGTACTTTTACCCTTTCGTTATATCTACTGTCAGCCTACTTACCTAGCTTTCTTTTCTGGTATTCATAGAGCTTTCATGTCTTACTCGCCTTTTGCTACGGTGTTGCAGGGCCGAATAACATTCTCATAAACTATCATGCTTTCATCATTTCTTATATCAAGTGTTCCCATTAGAAATTATAGACAGTCAGTTTTTCTTGCCTGCCAACTCCCTATTAAGCCTCGATAGCCTATAGCCTGAACACGTAGTGAGAGTGATCTCTGTGTAATAATCATGTAAAAGAAACCAAAAAGAAACATCAATAATGCATCATCTCCCAATATATTAATACGTATATCACCCTTCCTCCTGAAAACTCCCACCTCACGAGTCAATCAGGCCACAGAAATCCCAACTAGCGAGCTACCTAATTTAACAGCGGAAGAAAGACATAAGCTAGACACAAAAAAAATACAAAGTATACCTTAAAAGCACATTGGGAAAGGGGGGAGGAATGGTTGTAAGAGACGTACATGAATCGAGTTAGTAAGGCAACTGCAAAGTAAGGATTCTAAAGAAAGGCGAAAAAAAAACATGTATGGAAAGAGTGGGAGACATGGAAAACCACTTTTGATTTCTTTCTCGCGAGGCTGGATGCATGGTTGCTTGACCTTTCATTTACATTAGTTAGTCATCGCCATCGATGAATTGGAGACGCTCTTTGGCGGTTTTTGCTCGTTTGGAGGTGCCTTTTGCAGGAGCACGGCGACGACCGCCTTTGCCTGATGGGCCTGCAGTAGGTGCTTCGACGTCTGCAGATAAGGGTGTTGCTGCACCGGAAGGTCTGGCACTTAGATCGTCGAAGTGACCCTCACCTATATTGCATTGTAAGTAACCATGACATACCGTGTAGTGTGTAGAGTATGAGTATAAATGCATACCTTCATGATACATATCATCCAACGTGACGTCTCGCTTCTTTTTGGGAGCAGCCTTTCTACCCTTCTTAGGAGCGGCAGCGGCATCTTCTCCCTTCTCAAGGGCTTCTTTCTCCTTTTGTTCCAGGATCTTGGCCTCATCGTCGTCTGCAAGCCACATAGCGATATCCTTGGTACGGTTCTCACGGCTTCGGGTGTTGAAATCAACGCCGCCACCTGCACCGCCAGAGATAACGACACGCTGCACTTCTTCCTTTTGAAGAGCTCGCTTGCGTATTCTCTCCTCGATGGTTCTGCGGGTAATTAGACGATAGACTGTGACTTGTCTTGTTTGGCCAAGACGATGAGCTCTGTCCATGGCCTGAGAGTCTATGGTTGGGTTCCAGTCGGAATCGTAGAAGATGACTGTGTCGGCTGCTGTCAGGTTAATACCTAGACCACCAGCACGGGTGGAAAGGAGGAAAATGAATATCTCGGGCCGTTGCTGGAAATCCAAGACGGTGTCTCGACGGTCTTCTAGCTTGGTACTACCGTCTAGTCGGCAGTATTTATAGTTGCGGTATGTGAGATATTCTTCCATCAAGTCGATCATGCGGGTCATTTGGAAGTAGAGTAGCACACGGTGGCCACCGTTCTTCAGTTCCCGAAGTAGCTCGTCCAGTTTCGCTAGTTTGCCGGAATCAGTGACAAAGCGTCTCATGGACGGCACGGTAATATTGGTATATCCTCGTTTCGTGGAGCCTGGTTTCGGTAGCATTGGTGGATACGAGTAAGGTAAGGGGTTGACCTTGTGGTTCAGTATGTCTTCATCAAGGCCGCGAGTTGTTGTTCCAATCAAAGCTTGACGGGCCCGGACGTTGAAGAAGGTATTTTGAGCCTCTAAATCCGGTACGGATGACGCGGATGATATCATTATTGGGGGTGCGTTCGCATCATATTTACCGCAAGGCTCGAAACCAAGTATTCCTTGGTTATCGATCACCGCCTGGGTAACGTTGAATAGCTCGCGTAGATAGCCGGAGGAACCATGTCCGGTGAGCTCAGATCGGCTGTTACGGTCGGTGATTTTGAATAACGAATGCGGTAGAAGGGAATTTGTGCTCGTTTCGTCATCGTCATAAACAATCGATAGTCGTGCCAGACGATTCTCAGCACCCTGGCGCTCCAACGCCCGCTCAAACACACCCTTTTCAGAAATTGAACGTGCTTCTTCCATCGACAGGTCAGTGAATCGAAGCCAGGAGAAGGCATCATCTCCACCTAGACTGTGCCGCATGTTTTCCGGTGACCACACATTCATGAGATGCGAGAGATATTTATTATCAAATCCTGCTTTGCTATTGTCAGGCCCAGGAATGTCGAGTCGTCCCGCGGAACTGCAAAGCATACTTGGTAGATCATAGTCTATCAAGCTACGGGTCGAATAGGGAACTGATGGCTGCGCTCTGACGAAGGAAGCGGACTCAGCAAAATGACACATGGAGTAAGGTGAGGAAGTGTCGGCACGCTCGAACAGGTCAGGATGGTTGCAGACTTTCCGGAACTGCATGACCAAGTTCATCAGCGTGGTACTGTCTGCTTCTTCACCCGTGGCAGCCTTTTCAATTAGGTCGATGATGCTGACACGATTTCGCAGGCTGGCATAGTACGCTCGCTGCCTGTATGTGAGGTCACAGAAGACGTCCTTCTCGACCTTGTCACCGAGTTCCTTCTGGACATGCTTCTTTATACGTCGAAGCATGAAAGGCTTGAGAATCATGTGTAGTCGCTTAAGCTGGTCTTCATTCAACTTGGTATTACTTTGTGCATGGCTTTCGATGTCCTTGGAGAACCACTCGCTGAACTCATCGTGGGAATCAAAGAGAGTAGGCATGATGAAATGTAGAAGAGCCCAAAGTTCCTGCATGTTGTTCTGGATAGGCGTACCCGTGAGTAACAATCTGTTTCTGCAATGGAAACCGAGCAGATTCTTCCACCTTGAACTCTGTGACGATTTAATAGCTTGAGCCTCGTCAAGGACCATGTATTGCCATTTGACCTTTTGGAAGTATTGGGCATCCAAAACAACGAGCTGATAGGATGTCACCAGGACATGGAACTCGGATTGCTTGGTGTAAGTGATGTGTTTGCGATCCCAAAATTTACGTAGCACCTTTCGATCTTTGGCCGAACCCCAGTACGGAAGCACTTTGATATCTGGTACGAACTTGGTGATTTCCTGCTGCCAATTGTGAAGAGTCGAAGCCGGTGCAATAACGAGGAACGGACCCCAGATATTGTGGACCTCAGCAAGATACGCCATGACGGAGATAGACTGGACAGTCTTTCCGAGACCCATCTCGTCGGCAAGGATACCGTTGATGCCCTGCTCGTAAAGGTTGACCAGCCAGTTGAGACCCTTCAATTGGTACTCCTTGAGCTGGCAGTTAAGCAGCTTAGGTTGTGCAACTTGGACATCACCCAAACTTGTAGGGTTCTGGAAGTTCATTTCACCTTCGTCAAAGGCAGCCATCTTGTTTTCCTGTTCGTTGAACGCCTTGGCACGATCCTGGGCTTGTTTGACTGCATTCTGGGCGTTGGCCATGGCCGCCTCTCTCAGAGCAGTATCATCTTCAGCGTCAAAGTCGAGATCCTCAAAGTTGGTAACCTTTGCGCTGAGGTCGCCGAGGTCTTCGGGCACGTTGAGCGAGGTTTCAGGTTCCTTTGCGCCGTCGGCAGACTTGTCAGCGGCGGGAGCGGCAGTGGTGTCACCAGACTGTTCTGCTTCGTTGGTTTTGATCTTTCGGCCAATGAAATGGGAGTACAGTTCAGTTTGGGAGATGAGGAAGTTGAGTTTTCGTTTCTGGCGGTTGGCTTCACGGTCTGCGTCTGCCTTTCTAGCGAGCTCCAGCTCCTGTTTCTCTGCCATTCGGCGCAGATCACGCTCTTCACGCTCGTTCCTCTTCCAGAAGGACATCATCTCACGCATGGTTCGTTTGGCTCTGGCCTGGGTATCCTTCGTGCTGCGGTTGGTACGATCTTGCCATTTCCTTGCCTGTTTACTGGCGAGTTGTGCCGTTTTGCGGCAGTTCTCCTGTCGGATATTGAGAGAGGTAGTCTTCATACGAGCAACCTTGGGAATATCCTTGCGAGCCATATCTCTCCAGATCTGTTCGTATAGCTGGGCGTAGCCCTTGGTGTCGAAAGTCGCAACAGGGGCGGGCGTGGGTTCCTTTGACGCTTTGGCATCCTTTTTCGCGGCCGGCTTCTTGTCCTTGGATGCGGAGACAGATGGTTCATCACCTTCCATGGCCGCATAGGCAGCCTCTGCGGCATCCTTCTCAGCCTGTTTCTGCTCCTTGGTCTTCTTTGGCCGAGCGGCCGAGCTTCCTTTGCTGGGTCTCTTCTTGTTAGGAGAAGGCTTGTCACGGGTGTGGAATGAACCGGTAGTGCCACCCTCGAGGTTTGGTGACAGAGGAGCCACTTCACTGATCTCTTGGGGAGCAGACCCGGTCTCGAGTACATGTTTGGTGTGCTTAATCTTCTTGCGAGACCGAGCGATTTCACGTTGTAGTTTCTCCTTTTCAGCATCGTCTTCCATCTTGCTGACCTTCTTCTGCGCGGCCTGAATCTTCTCCATCTCAGCACGAACGGTATTCTCACGCCGCCGTTTCCGCTGCATATCCTTCTTGCGTTCTTTTTCATCCATTATCTCCTTCTGCTGGACCTCTTCTATCACTTCGGCTTCATGGAGCCGGGCAAAGCGTTCGGTACCGGCAATGGCTTGCTTCTCGAACACACGGGCCAGTTTACCCAAAAAGTTGGCTCGACGGCGCTGTTACAAATTAGCAACGACGATGTAAAATACACAAGTGTAGTTGGGTGCATACCTTTCTCTTCTGGTTATCCAGGGCCTCTGCCTCCCGAGCCCGTTTCCTCCCCTTGATGATATATCGCTGCCATTCATCTTCGAATCCAGGAGCTTCGAGATCGCTTTTGTCTAAATTGTCTAAGCGTTCCAGCGCAGTGGTGACATTATTTGACTCGCCCCGAGAGTGTGACGAAGAAGATTGCTTCGCAGGGGCCAGAGGCGGCGCCGATTTTGCGGAAGCCGTGCCATTCGCAACGGGCTTTGGCGCAATTTCACTATATGTAGCGTCGTAGTTGTGATGTCGGCGACGTTTATCAGACTCTAGCACCCTGGGTTCGGGCTTAGAGGCTGGTTTGGGAGCAGGTTTAGGAGCAGGTTTGGGAGCTGGAGTTGCTACAGGCTGGGCCGGTGGTTCACTGGCCTTAGCCGGCGGGACAGAAGCCTTCCGAGGGCGTTCTTCTGCAGGACCTGATAGAATACTGGCAAAGGACATGGGATCTGTAGCTCTTGCAGGTTTCTAATAAGGGGCATCGTCAGTATAAGGGCGAATACATATAGATATGAAAAGGGAAAATAGTGTAAAGGTCGAGATGAACTGACCGGTTCCTTTGGAGAAGTAGCTCTTGCCTCACGGGCCATGGGAGGCTGCGAGGAGGAAGAGTAGATGGGGTTTGCTGAGCGCGAGTCGAGAGGGATATCAGGCTCGCGCTTGGGAGAGTGCATGACGGTGTCTCCCATGCTCCCTGGACGTGTGTGGGTAGGTGTATGGCCGAACACGCCCGGAGTCGGGGAGTGAGCTGAATTCGACATCAGCGAGCTGCTGTACGGCCGCGGGAGGGAGTATCCAGGCTGGTTGGAGGCCGGATGGCTAGCGTGGTAGGCCGGCGAAGGCTCCGCGCCGTTCAAGGGCGGCAAAGTGGTGTTCATGGGCGATGTAGGCTGGTTGTAGTGCGGACTCCTGCTCACTGCACCATATCCAGGCGGCGTACGAGGCGGATGCTGCTGCTGCTGCTGTTGCTGCTGTTGCTGTTGCTGTTGTTGCTGTTGTTGCTGCTGCTGCTGGTGGTAGGAAGAAGAGGCGTCAGAGCCAGCGTAGGGGCGATCCCGCGACGGCGAGTAGGAGAGATAGCGAGCCTGCTGGGACGGCGAGCGCGAGGAGTACGGCGGAGCTCCCGTCATGGCTGCTGGAGCTGCTGGAGGGCCAATTCAGCCCGTCCGGTGGTGGCTCTTGAGCTGGCAACGAAGGGGCAGGCAGTCTCTGCTTCAGAGGACACGCTCCATGGGCTTTCTGGCTTTCTGGCTGGCTGGGTCGCGGGATCTAGACGGGCGACGAAAGGGCAGGCCAGGCCAGGGCAGGACAGAAGGGAGCGAGCGGGCGAGACAGGACGGCAATGGGCGTCGCAGCAGAGGTCAGGACGGCGGGCGAGAGGGAGATGCGGTCGAGCAAGAAGGCGACGCAGCGAAGCGAGGTTCGTCCCGGACGTTTTGCTTCTTTTCTTCGTCTTTTTCGCCGTCTTTCGTTTCTTTCGCAGCCAAAAAACCTTCGCCTTTTTGGGGGTTTAGTCACGTGACGGGGTTTTGAAGCTGAAGTTGGAGTTGGAGTTGGAGTCGGAGGATGATAGTAGCAGTAATAGCAGTAATAGTTGTAGGAGTAGATGGGAAAAGAGGGCAGCGCGGTGGGGAGGGCTGGGACTGGCGAACTACAGGTTGGCACCGCGGGACTGCGCTACGGCGGCCGGCGGGCAGGCGATATCAAAAAGTACATATCTACGGGCAGGGTGGCCGCCGCGATGTAGGGAGTGTCTATACAGTGTGTAAGGGGCGCCGTCTGCTGGGGATAGCTTTCTTTCTTCTGTTGCTGCGTGGGCTAGCTGTCTTTTTGATGCTGCTGGTCCTGCGCACTGCCGTGTATAAACATGGTAAGACACCCGCCCAGCACAATGAGATGGGCCATCTGTTCCCCTGGCAAGAGTGGAGAGGATTGGCAGCAAGATAACTAACGTAACTAGCCATGGTCGTCTCCCTCCATCAGGAGTGCTGCGTGCTCGCAGCCTTGCGGACAAGAAGCGCTGACCGGTTTATTCCGCCGGGCCTATCGTCCAAGTATCTCGTGCCCAACGGATATGGCCCTGGAGCAGTGGGAAACGGCCCACGGACGTCTTTCTGCTTTAGCTCTCATCTCCTGGCTGTTGTAGATGCTGTTCGTATCTCTAAGCATAATAGTAATGGCGTAGGCTATTCCGCCGTGTAAACCAAACGAGGAGCACTCTGGTCGCAAGATGCTGCATTATTTCATCGACTGGAAGATTCCTGCTCAGTAAAAAAGTATCAACTGTCTGATAGTTCATTTATGATGTGCGTTGGAGCCGTGTTGGATGGTGGTGGACGGTGATACCTGTGCTGTCTGTTAGCTGCGACATCGAGGAAGGAGAACAACAGCGCAGAGCAGGGAGTAAAGAAGAGAGGAAGTTCTACATAGCCATCCTTGCCTAATAGCACCAAGTTATAGCCTGGTCTCTGCCGTCCAGCTCGCCGTCTCTGCTTTCTATGCTGTATTTACTGACGGCCGGCCCAGCTTGGCGTTGACGATGTTTAGAGCGAGAATAACACTTTGAGAGCTTCAACTTCAACGTCGACAACAACGACAACGACAACTACAACAGCTCCAGCTTCAACTCGACAGCCCGCGATGGTATAACAGCTAAACCACCCTTCACTGCGCACCATGGCGCTGGACGGATCCAGTGGCTATGTAGCTGCCAGCAGCCTGGCCAAGCTGGCCGAGTCCTCGCTGCCCATCTTCAGCATCAAGCAGGTCCAGCTCAAGTTCTCCATCGCCGCGGACTTCGTCGCAGCCCAGGTCGCCAACGATGTGCTCATCCTGGCGCTTGCGACTGGTAGGATACTAAGGATCGACTTGAATAACGCAGAAGATATTGACGGTGTGCTCTTACACCTTTGATTCTTTCGGTTGTTGTTAGTACTGACGTTGGGCTTTAGATATCGACCTGCCTAAGAAATCATCTGAGATAGGCGTCATCCGCCGCATGTTTCTGGACCCTTCTGCCTCGCATTTGATTATATCGACTACTCTGGGGGAGAACTACTATCTTCACACCCAGTCTCGACAACCTAAACTGCTCTCGCGCCTCAAGGGGGTGATGATAGAGTGTATTGCTTGGAACCCGGCCTTGCCTACAGCGTCAACTAGAGAGATCCTCGTGGGTTCGACGGACGGGAACCTGTACGAGGTATATATCGAATCTGCCTCCGAGTTCTTTCGCAGGGACGAGAGATATGTCAACACGGTGTACAAGGTGCCCAGTCTGGCGGTGACCGGTGTTTGGGTGGACTTTGTTGGTGGCAGGAAGGACCTCCGGCAAATCATCGTCTCATCGAACGGGAAGATATTCTATTTCACGGGCAAGATAGGGAGACACGGTAAAGATGGAGGAGGAGGATCGATATACAGCGACTTGTTCCGCAAGGAGACTCCCGTTATTCACGAACTTACCAGCGCTACTCTCTCGGCGCCATCTCTCCTAGCCATGCAGCCGGACCCCTTGGAAGAAGGGCATAGTGATGACAGAGCAGAGGAAAAGCATTTTGCCTGGCTTTCTTCACTAGGCGTTCTACATGGTACTGTACCCAACTCAGCTCCCAACCAGGATGGAGGGAGCAGGATATTCGACAAGGCCAAGATGGTCTCCCGTTCGATTTTGCCGGCTACAGAATCAGCTAGGGGAGGCAGGAAGCTAATCCAGGATCCTATCAAGGGGATGACCATGACACAATGGCATATACTTACACTGGTTGAAGGGAGAATCGTCGCGATCAACCGGTTGAATGGAGAGATTGTATTTGATCAAGCAGTGCTTGAACCGGGCGAAAGCTCCCTCGGATTGGTTGCAGATCAAAAGATGAACACCTACTGGCTCTTTACCGGCCAGGAGATATACGAGATATCCGCCAATGATGAGGACAGAGACGTCTGGAGGATCCTGCTGAAAGAACAGCAGTTCGACTCTGCACTCCGTTATGCCCACGGCGTCACGCAAAAGGATGCCGTGGCCACTGCTTCGGGTGACCATCTGGCCAGCAAGGGACAGTACCTTGAAGCAGCTGCAGTTTGGGGCAAAAGTAGCAAAAGCTTTGAAGAGGTTTGCCTCACATTTATTGACAAGGGGGAACATGATGCTCTTAGGAAGTATCTCCTCACCCAGCTATCGACGTACAAGAAATCAGCTACTATGCAGAGAATGATGATAGCGAGCTGGCTGGTGGAAGTATTCATGTCGAAGCTGAATTCTCTGGATGATACCATTGCTACCAAGGCCGAGTTGGTCGAGGGAGGCAACGAAGATGATGCCAAAGATGATATCCAGAGCATACGCTCTGAGTTCCAGCAGTTTGTGAACAAGTACAAGGCCGATCTGGACCCGCGGACAGTCTATGATATTATAGGCAGCCATGGACGGGAACAGGAGCTGCTGTACTTTGCAACCACGATCAACGACCACAACTTTGTGCTGTCGTACTGGGTCCAACGGGAGAAATGGTCAGAGGCACTGAACGTGTTGAAGAAGCAGACCGACCCGGAAGTGTTCTACAAGTACAGCAGCGTGTTAATGACATACTCTGCCAGCGAGTTTGTGGACATACTGATGAGACAGACGGACCTAGACCCTCAGAAGCTCATTCCAGCCCTGCTCACCTATAACAAGGACATCAAGACGTCCCTGTCCAAGAACCAAGCAACGAGATACCTGAACTTCATCATTGCCAACCACCCCAACCCTTCTGCCGCCGTACATAATACCCTAATATCCATCTACGCCTCCCACCCATCGACATCCGAGGGCGCGCTACTACAATACCTTGAATCCCAACCATCCTCTCCTCCCCCTTATGACGCCGACTTTGCACTACGCCTATGCATCCAGCATAAACGGGTGCAGTCCTGCGTGCACATATACAGCATGATGGGGCAGTACCAAGAAGGCGTCACACTGGCCCTCAAACACAACGACATCGAGCTAGCCGCCCTTGTTGCCGACAGGCCAGAAGGGAACGACAAACTGCGCAAAAAGCTCTGGCTGCTCGTGGCAGAAAAGAAGATCCATCAGCCCGGCATCGGGATCAAGGAGGCAATTGAATTCCTCCGCCGATGCGAATTGCTACGCATCGAAGACCTGATTCCTTTCTTCCCTGATTTCGTGGTAATAGATGACTTCAAGGACGAAATCTGCACCGCACTAGAGGACTACTCGCGGCACATTGACACGCTCCGTCAAGAAATGGATAATTCCGCACATGTAGCGGAACAAATTCGCCTTGAGACCGCGGCGCTGGGATCCCGATATGCGATCGTCGAGCCCGGCGAGAAATGCTGGATCTGCTCGCTGCCGGTGCTGAGCAGACAGTTCTTTGTGTTCCCATGCCAGCATGCATTCCATAGCGACTGTCTGGGCAAAAAGGTGATGGACGCCGCTGGGACGGGGAAAAAGAAGCACATCCGGGATTTACAGGCTGAAATGAGTAAGGGGACTAGTATTGGCGCTAAGAGGGAGAAGATCATTAGGGAACTGGACGGTCTGATTGCCGAAGCCTGGTGAGTTTAATTTTTTCATTTCTTTTCTACTATTTGTTTGGGGGGGGACCTGTGCTAATGATATGGTGGTGACAGTATACTATGCGGCGAGTACGCTATCAAACAGCTTGATGAACCTTTCATTAGCCCGGCAGATAACAAAAACGAATGGTCTATCTGAGCTGGCCCATGACGAGTGAACATGAACACGACCATGACCATGAATATAATATGAATGTACAACTACATTAATCCATGCTATCTAGCTTTTAACTGATTTTAGAATTGAGCTTCGTCTTCCAACGCCCAGCCACCAACCACCCCTATTCCTCGTACAGACAGCCCTCTCACACCAGTAGTAGACTTCATGGTATTTTTCATAATATACTTCGTAGCAGTGTAAGCTTCATCCTAGACTTCACAGCAGACTTCAGCGACCCTCGGAACCTTAAGCTCGACCCGAGCCAATTTTTGCGACGAGTTAGAAGCAAGAAAAGGCCCAGGAAGCACGCGGATAAGTCTTGTTCTTGTCCACTTCTTCATGGCGTTGACGCCGTTTCACAGGTTGCTCAGTCGATGGATGGATGGATGCATGCAGTGTGCGGCATGCATGAAGGAATGCGGGGGAGGCAAATACTGAGGGAAGTGAATGCAGAGAAGTAGAAGCAGAGGCAAAGGAGGACATAAAACTTGATGAAGGGACCTTGATGCCAGATGTTATGTCTGACTACAAGGAGTTCAGTCGCTACCTCCTGTGTTAGTCCGTAGTAGGGGTATCTCAGGGGGTATCCAACCAGCCCACAGTCAGAATGAAAGAATGCCAACTACGTCACTGCAGCGTAGTGAGTGACTGGATGGCATGTAGAGGCCCTTTCCCGGGTATCTCAGGTGTCATCACCAGCACATTCCAGCGCCAGGCCGACATAGTCCGTCTCTAGTGCAAGACACCCCCTCTCCTCGTCCCGCTCAAGCGCCTTCGCAGGCGCCCTTCAAACCTTCAAGCCTCTGACGTACTGAGTACCTCTGGGAGTGACTAACTACTAAGGACTAAGACACCGGCGTGAAGCCACGGCCGCTCGCCCGTCGGGTCTCTCTGGCGATCAAGGTTGATACATAGCAACGACCGAGAGCAATCAAATCAATAATAATACTCGACTAGTGAGACCCGATAGCAACTAGTCCAGCTTGTGTGCAGCGTACAAATAAAAACCAGGTAAATCATCGAATAAAGCAAGGTATCACGCGGGCGTCTCTCGTCTCGTGTTCCGTTTTTTGCTTTTTTTTTTTTCCCCAGGCCGATGTTGGAATCGAAGATGGAATTGATTTCGAAGTGTATGTTCAATGCCGATGTTGTTAATTATTCTTCATCTCGAGACTCCGTGCAAGAGGGATCGTCAGCCCATCGCCGGAAGGGAGGCAGAGACAATTAGAAACACGCTGACGCCATCATCGTCATGGGCAGGGCGGGTGGTGGACGCTGGGCGGATGCGCTGATGGGCTGATTCAGGGGGTGCGCAGAGAAATCCGGGGTAAAAAAGCAAAACACAGGCCGTATCATCGCGAGGCGCCTGGGTGATCCTGAAGAAGCCGTTTCTTGACTTGAACCTTGCTCTGCTGGTCTTTGTAGTGACGTCGTTACAATAAAGCAGAGGAGCGAAGATGCTAGATGTTCACAAGCAGCAGATTGTATCTCGTATGGGCCACGTCGGACAGCATCAATCAATGAATGAATGGCCTTGACAAGAAGAATTCTAAACAAAGACAGAGCGGCGCAAAGGGTCACTTCCGTCGTACATGATGAATAGCAAGCGGACACATCGCCAGCCACTGCTCACTAGCCAGTCGAATAACCAGCGAGCCACTGCATGCAGTGCATAGTTTAACTGCTTGGAAGTCACTTGCTGCGGTCACTTGGTACTAAGCCGGCGGCATATACATGTCAGTGTGCGGAGTATGTACTCTGCACCAGCACCGAGAGAGGTCACTGGAAACGACGATGAGAGATAAACAGAACAAACTGGATGGGCCGGTTAGTTTGTTACTCGAATCCGAGTCGAGTCTGCTGCTGCTGCAGGACTAGAGAGGTTAAGCATGCCAGAGTAAGCACTTGGGACTGAGCGATATAACTAATGGATAATATGGTTATGCCTGACTTTATTAATATGCGCCGAGATGAAACGGACCATAACGCAAGGCTATGACGGGACATAAAAGGGACGAACAAGAGTTTTTCCCTCAATCCTCTCTCCAATCGGGCTGCAGTGGAAGAGACGGGATTGAAATTGTTGGCAGGGTCTGTTCGAGAGGTTGATGGAAGTCAGGAAGAAGTATATAACTCGGGTACCTTTTCTGGACGAGTCGGAGAAGAGCAGGCCCAGTTCCGGCGGCACGACGAGTGCATGGATGAAGTACTCCATAGTGTGTGCTGCTTCTATTTAACATTCATTAATAGATGGTAAGGAAATGAGATGAGAGTTGACGTGGCGTCCGTCTTACGATGGACTGTGAGAGAGTGACCATGACCGGCGAGTAACAGTAAACCGTGGAAGCGGCAGAGGAGGTTGAAGTCGCACGGCAAAGAGTAGTAGCCAGATGATGATTGAGAAGAGCAGACAGATAAACCTGTCTTTCCCTTGTACAATCGAAGAAGAGACGAAGAAGCAAAAGAAAGGGAGAGATGGAAAGTAGATGGACGGCCTGAAGTCGAACTCCCAACCACCACCTCTCTGCTTCTCCCTATCAAGGTCATTCTCTGCATGAAGAAGAAGACCAGATGAGGCGGTGAAGTATGCATCTGCATTCCCATCTGCATAGTATCTCCTTTCCTTTCTTTTTCATCTCTGCTCTTTTCGTCGTCTTTCTTTTTTTCTCTTCCCTTTTACTCTCCGTCCTGGCTCGATATGCTCGACTGGATGTGCATGTATACATTGACGGAGACTCCGCTGATGTGCATTGGTTATGTTATGCTGTGCCATATCAATTAAGCGTCATCAGCATCGGCATCATCAGCGCCGACATGAACTCGTCAGGTGAAAGGGGCCCAGAAGAGGACAGATAGACTGGTAGATGGTAGAGCCTACGTATACGGAGCACTCCTTTTTGCTCCAATTCTGAGTAAGAAGTGTCCAGAGTTCTCCAGGTGTGTCTCCATCGGTAACCTACCCCAGCCCCAATCCGAGTGAAGCTGGCTCTGGAGATCGCTTGGGCCCAACCACTTATAGGAGAACCCGGCCCTCTCCAGTAGAAAAGTGAAAAAGGGAAAGGGAAAGGGAAAGGGGGAAAAAGCAAAAAACGGACGATGGCACAAGAAGGCCCTTCCGTGGTTCGGGCCTTGCTGGCGTCATGTCGCCCCAGAAGAGGACAGGCATGCAAGCACTAGACTATGTAAGAGTGAAGGACTTGTGAAGTGAGTGTGTACTGCATGGGTGTGTGTGTATGTGTGTGGGTGGCCTGGCTGTCTCTTTGCTTCTTTCTTCACTCTCTCTCGAGGGTTGTGTGGTCTAAGAAAGTTATCGGCAGGGATGATGCATGCTGCTCTTGTCGAACCCTCCCACGCCAACCACCACCACCACCAACCAACCAGCCCAGCCCAACCTAACCTTTCCTCTCGTCCTCGCTCAGATCTTTCTTGCTCTGGGCTTTGGGCTTGGGGGAACGTCCTACTTACTTCGGCATGCCTCTCCCGCCGGAAGTATAGAGTACATTTTCTGGTCGAAACATGGAGAAACGGGTGGACACGACACCCGTGGTTTCAACTCCGTTGGCTGGGCTGGACTTTTTGCTGACTTGGTCGGCTGGTCAGTTGGTCGGTCGGGCGGGCGATTAGTAGTGAGAGCACAATAATAGGTGTACATCGGTGGGTAAGGCGGGGGGGTGAAATGAAGATCATGCCATCTCCTGAGAGACTGGCGGTTTGTTTATGGTGTGCCCGTCTGTCAACAACGCGGAAGAAGGTGATGGTGGTGTGTCTTTGGCCCCGAGATACCTGCGCTGTCTGGTGTCGAAGTACCTCATGCAGGGGGTCCTCGCATGCTGGGTGTTAGGCGAGAGTAGAGTTCGAGAGAGGCCCTTTTGGCTTTGGCTTCCTTGCTGGCTGCAGCGTTCGACAGTTCCATGCTGGCCTCTTTGACTCTCGGCTGCGCTGTGGCAATAATTGGATGCTGCGACTGAACTCGAGCCGGGCAGTTAGCAGGCGGCAGTGCGATGTAGCAGGTACTGGGAAGCAGCCAGCGTACTCATCTCTGTCGCTTTCTATCACGTCTTCCTCGTCATCCGTCTCCTCATCGTCGTCCATCCACCATCAGCCTATTCTCCTCTGTGGATACCATCGTCATTATCACTATCATCATCATTATTATCGTCGTCGTCGTCGTCGTCGTCGTCGTCGGCCTTGTCGTCTACTATCTGACTTC